CTATGCAAAGGCATTTCACTGTGTGGATCATAACAAATTATGGATAACATTGCAGAGAATGGAAATTCCAGAACACTTAATTGTGCTCATGAGGAACCTGTACATAGACCAAGAGGCAGTCATTCCAACAGAACAAAGGGATACCACGTGGTTTGAAATCAGGAAAGGTGTGCATCAGGGTTATGTCCTTTCACCATACTTATTCCATCTGTACGCTGAGCAAATAATCCGAGAAGCTGGACTATATGAAGAACGTGGCATCAGGATTAGAGGAAGACTCATTAATAACCCGCGATATGCAGATGACACAAAGTTGAAGAAGACTTGAAGCACTTACTGATGAAGAATCAAGATTACAGCCTTCAGTATGGATTACACCTCAACATAAAGAAAACAAAAATCCTCACAACAGAATCAGTGAGCAGCATCATGACAAACGGAGAAAAGATTGAAGTAGTCGAGGATTTCATTTTACTGGGATCACAATCAACACCCATGGAAGTAGAAGCAAGAAATCAAATGATGTATTGCATTGGGCAAATCTGCTGCAAAAAGACCTCTTTAAAATGTTAAAAAGCAAAGATGTCACTTTGAGGACTAAGGTGTACCTGACCCAAGCCTCATATGCATGCGAAAGCTGGACAATGAATAGGGAAGACCAAAGAAGACTTGATGCCTTTGAGTGATGGTGTTGGTAAAGAATATTAACTATATTATGGACTGTCAGAAGAATGAACAAATCTGTCTTGGGAGAAATACAGCCAGAACGCTCCTTAGAAGTGTGGATGGCAAGACTTCATCTCACTTACTTTGGACATGTTATCAGGAGGGACCAGTTCCTGGAGAAGGACATCATGCTTGGTAAAGGATAGGGTCAGTAAAAAAGAGGAAGACCCTCAACGAGATGGACTGACACAGTGGCTGCAACAATGGGCTCAAATACAGCAATGACTGTGAAGATGGCGCAGGACCGGGCGGCGTTTCGTTCTGTTGTACGTTGTCTTAGTTACGTAGTGCTGCAATAACAGAAATACCAAAATTGGATGGCTTTAATGAACAGAAATTTATTTTCTCACAGTTTAGGAGGCTAGAGTCTGAATTCAGGGTGCCAGCTCTAGGGGAAGGCTTTCTCTTTCTGTGTCATCTCTGGAGGAAGGTGCTTGTCTCTTTGAGCTTCTGCTCCTGTGCAATCTTCATGTGGCTAAGCATCTCTTCTCCCCCATCTCTGCTTCTCTCACTTCTTTGTTTAATCTCTTTTCTATCTCAAAAGAGATTGACTCAAAATGCACCCGACACTAATCCTGTCTCATTAACATAACAAAGACAATCCATTCTCAAATGAGTTTGTAACCACCGGCAAAAAAGTTAGGATTTCCAGTACATACTTTTTGGGGGGCATAATTCAATCCATAACACACATATATAGAGTCACTATGGGTCGGAACCAACTAGACGGCACCTAACAACAACAGCCTCCTAAACTTTGAGAAAATAAATTCCTGTTCATTAAAGCCACCCACTTGTGGCATTTCTGTTATAGCAGCACTAAGAAACTAAGATAAATGGATACAGTGATGGATCAGACTACGTTTTCCCTCTGGAGGGGAGTAAGCACATTTTTATTCAAATGAGAGGCACGGCATTATTTTAAGTGGGAAAACGGTGTTGTTGTATTGCTGTTGTTTGGAAGTATGGCTAGAAGTGTGTACATAAATGTTGAGTACAAAGAGCACAGACCATTGTGCATAGAATAGGATGGAACTCAGCATCCACTCCCAATTCCTTCCAGTATACCTTTTTCAGTGGAGCTACACTTTCTAGAACCCTCTGAAGCTGGGGTTGTCGATGCAAACTAGGTTCCACCAATGAAATGCACGGTGCCAAATTGTTTCTGCAGCAGTGTTCTGGTGTCCAGCCCCTTGCTTTGTAGGTGGCAAGAGGGTTAGTTGTGAAGGTAGTAGTGGTAGCAGCAGCTTTCTGATCCCTGGATGACAACTTCAACAGTGTGTCCCTGAAGTCCAAAGTCCAAGCGAGCCCTACCAAGTCCATCCCTTCCTGCTTGTAGCAGAGGTAGGTGGTTTCACTGTGGAATCTTTCCTGGAGACCCATCATCGATCCCTGCCCTAATCTAATCTAATGCTTTTGTGGACAATTAATTTGCTATTTTAAATTCTTTTCTGCTTAAATTAATGCTTTCTTCTTAAAATTGGACCCTGATTGATAAACTAAAATTTTTAGAATTCTGTGTCTATTTCCAGGTTAATCCTTTTAAAGAAATTGTTGAAATGTTCATTTAGGACTTGTCCTACTGGGTGAGAAACTTGGTTTTGTAAGTAATTAATCTTTAAAGTTAATTATTCTTGGTTAGTCTGTGCATACCTATTACAAATGAGTCCCTGGGTTACTCATCTAGTTCAGTCAAAAATCCAAATTCAGTGGTTAACATGCTTGGCTGCTAACTGAAAAGCTGGAGGTTCAAGTCCACCCAGAGTTGCCTTGGAAGAAAGGTCTGGTGATCTACTTCCAAAAAAGTCACTGCAAACGCTGTGGAGCACAGTTCTACTCTGACACACATGGGGTTGCCGTGATTTGAAGTCAACTTGACAGCAACTGGTTTTTCTATACTACAAGATGTGGTCAAGCAAGTTATTTCATCTCTTAAGGAAAATGAACTCTCTCTCTGAGGTCCAACACATTGTTACCCATCATGCAAAAATGATCGTTGCCACGTTCCATTGGTTTGTAAATGACTGGACAGGGAAGTCATCAGGTTATAATCTGATGTTCAGAAATGTTAGGATTTTCAATATTTTTATTTTCCAAATATGATTTTAAAAGAACATTAAAAGCATCCGAAATACAAATCTGGCCTAACGGTTAACATAAGAACAATTATTATAAAATATCTGAAAATACATCACATACTTTGCATCACAGTAAAGCATCAAGAGAACTAATTTATGTACCCTGCTAATTGATTGTATTCAACTGGATTCTCATTACTTTTAGTTCTCATTTTAGCCCTTATGAAGAGACATTATATTTATCTATCTATATCTACATATAGATATAGCTACATGGAGGGGCTAAGAATCTAGCCCACTATGTATTTCATGCAGGTTAAATCAATAATTTCTTGATGAGCATAAAGAGACCGAATACCTCATTTGCACATGCTTCGTTTTCTTTATGCTATAACTTACCTCCCAAAGATGGGAGCCATGCTGGTCAAATCATCCCAAACTCAAAGGCCACAAAGGAAGCCTGACCTTTAAAATTTTACAAGTAGAAATGACTTTTGTTTTTACCTTTTATTAAATCACATATAAAATGCCTGTTCACAAAAGAGATACATACCCTAAAAAGTGTGGGAGTGTTTTCTTGATTCATTAGAAAGCTGTTTGGTTTGTTCAGATAAATACCAGATTGTATTTAGGTGCAAAAGTCTAATTCCTAATGGGTCACAATTCTTTAAATGAATGTGAGAGGATAGTGCATTTCTTACTTCTGTCTTTGTTAAAAAGAGGTAACATACTAACCTATCTTACTGGAGGATTAATACAAGAAAACAATGGTTTTTTAAATACAAAAGCACAGCTGATACAGGTCACCGTGATTTCCAAAAATTGTACTGAATTACAAAAAAGAAAATGTGGGGGAGGGGATATTTTTTCTTCTGTTAAAAAATTTAGTGGCAAAAATAGAGGAAGAAAGGGAGGCAAGGAGGGAGGAAGAGACAGGGAGACAGAGGGGGAGGGAGAGAAGGAGAGAGGGAAAGAGGGAGAAAAGAAGAGAGAAAGAGAGACAGGGAGGGAGGTAAGGAGGGAGGAAGAAGAAGGAGAGACCTAAAAGGTGAATTTAGAAACAAAATAAAACCCATACCTCATACTTCATTCTCAGGAATGGAAATGATCGGTCAGTACTGGAAGGCAAGAGTCGTTAGATGAGGCTGAGCAGAATTCTTGTGTATATCTACTCTGTCTTCTCCACCTCTCTCGTGGTCTCTGTATTTGAGACCAGATTGAGGGAGGATGCTGTAAGCTGAGTTGCCTTTCATCCAAAGGAAAAAAGTACCTTGCCCTGGTGGCGCAGTGGTTAACAGCCTGGCTGCTAACCAAAAGTTTGGCAGTTCGAATCTACCAGCTGCTCCTTGAAAACCGTACGGGCAGTTCTACTCTGTCCTATAGGGTCGCTATGAGTCGGAATTGACTGGACGGCAACAGGTTTGATTGACAATAATAGTTCTTGAAGATAACAATTTATAAAGACGGGTTTTGTGTCTTGATGCTCATCTTGTGTCTAGCAGTTATAGTTACAAAATTCTAGTGAGTTCAAATGTTAACTGAATAATTAAATTTTTTTTTACATAAAAATAGGAGTTCACAGTTGTTATGCTAGGAATCACAGGGTATATAATAAAACTAGTTTTAGGTATAGAAATACTTAATCCATTTTTTCCTTACTGTCTATTTCAAGAGTGATGGAAGAGAGAGAAACACTTGGTTTGAAAATAGATCATCTTAAGAATTTTCCTACCATAGTAATATATAAAGACAAAAAAGAAGTTATCCGTAGATAGTCCCTCGGATGCTCTTTGCCAGGTTGTTGATAAACCCTTCTCAGACAGAGGGAAAACATAAATCAAAACACTCATCTCATCCCTGTGCCTTGTTCAGCAATCATAAAGATAACAGTCCAGATCGCTTTCCATATAACGCTCTGCCTAAGATGGCCACAGGAGCATTTACTCTTCCAAGAATGGCGTCCCTTTACTATAGATGCATCCCTGGGTGGTGTAAATGGTCAGTGTGCTCAGCTGCTAACCAAAAGGAGCCTCGGAAGATCTACTTCCAAAAAATCAGACGTTGAAAACCCCGGAGTGCAGTTCTACTCTGACACACATGGGGTTGACATGAGGTGGAGTCGACTTGATGGCAACTGGTTTCCTGGTTTTTTTCTACCAGAGATGCAGTTTTCTTCACTGGGATTCTTGGATGAGATCATCCCAAAATAGAACAATTCATTTTTAACAAGTAAAAACATCTTTCTCTTTTTAAGAACTATATGTCTACTCAATTGACACAAAATGATAATACCTATAATAAGAAATGGCAATAATTATAATACATTCTTAGTTGACTGTCTTAGGAGAGGAAAGTACCTAATACCTGTGAATATTTTTGGGAAGGGTAGAGTTATAAAGTATTTCTGATTTTCTGCTTTAACAATATACTATTTATTCAAACCAGCCTGCTACCCCACAAAAAAGTGTATTGTTTCCTATTTCAACACTTTAAAGAATCAAAACTGGAAATTCCATTAATAAAATGACACTTCCACAGAAGATCATATGTTCAGTCTTTTAAAAAGCCAGCCGATATACACTTCGAAGACCCATAACACTGACTCAAATGACCACAATCGGTTGATTTTTCTACTTTAACACAGTAGCACAATCATTCCTGGCATCTATTTAAAGGTTCAGCACAAAAGACTGGGACACAGGTCAAGGTAAAAATCTAAAAATAAACTTTTATGCCAAATCTGAAAATATCAAAGGGCTACAAAGCGAACTGATAGATGCTAACACTTCAGACAGAAGAAAGTCATAACTGCCAGTTTTAGCCTCATCTTTAAGTTTTGATCTACCACTCAGCTCCCAAAGGTAAAAAAAAAAAAAAAAAAAAGTCAAAACTAGTAGATGAGATTAGATTCTCTAGTCTCCGGGACTTTAAACAGAGGGGACTGGAATCTGCTTGGCTGAAGTGCTGTCATACTCTTGCATTAAATCATTGGTGGTGTGATAATGCATGGCAATGTATGAATGGGCAAATCCAAAGGCGTTTACCGGCTGTAAGTTATGTGCGATGCTCTCTTCCTGGGAAGGGCTGCTGTTATAGATGCTGTAATATGGTTCAATCCGTGTGTTGATGGGGGTTGAGCTGCTCTGACCATAGTGTTGATGTCCAGCAGACATCTTAGGACTTATCATGCTTTCTCTGGAATGACTTGGGCCACAAGCCTGGTCCACGAATTTCTTCTGTGGCTTTGGAGACAACATATAGGCAGAGTTTGTTTCATGATGAGAGGATTTATTTCTGTTGACTTCAAGGTTCCCTTTCCCCATGGCTCGAAGTCGGGTCTTCTGTTTGCAGCAGAAAAAGCCCAAGCCTATGTATTGGAGGCACCAGAACACTTTCCTTCTCAGCCCTGCACTGTTCCGAGAATATATAAAAGGGTTTAATCCCGACTTGAAAAATATAAGGATAAATCCAAACAGTTCCAACTGGTAAAGGATGAAGCTCCCATTGTTGGCCAGAACCACCTGCACCAAGGAAATCCCCAGCGGAAGACAGCACACCAGGACCGACAGCACGATGATCACACAGGTGACCACTGCTTTGGAATCCTTGGCGGTGGAGAGGTTGACGGCTGACACCAGCTGGAGCCGGCTGGCTGCAGGGCTTAGCAGCTGGTTGGGACTTTTGGTGTACCCATGGGTCTGAACGTGCTGCAGTTTGTTGTAATTCTGGTTCCTGTATAGAGCTGGCATGGTGCACTGGACGGGCTCTCTGCCTCCCTTCACCGGGACCCCCATGAAAGGCTGTGGCCTAGAAGCATCTACTGTGATTACAGGGGGGCACTTTCGGAGCTGAGCGTTGTTGCGCAGCGTCTGAGCAATCATGATGTAAGACACGGAGACCACAGCAACACAGAAGGCGAAGTCAACCACATAGAGAGACAGGACAGCCTGCCCTCCTCCGGCGGGCGGACTGGACATGGGAAGGCAGAGCTGGGACTTGCTGGTTTTCAGTGTGGCCAAGGTGGCGAGGGTGAAACTGGTGGCCCAGAGAAGCAGAGTGAGGAGTAAGGTGCAGGGGAAGGAGGCCGTGCGATTGGGCTGCTTCCCCAGCACCATGCGGAGCCGGTGCAGGGCGATCACTGCCACCGTCTTGAGGGACATGATGATGAAGCCAGAACTGGTCAGGTGGAAGGTGAAGCAGAATGCATCGGGAATACTACTGGCTGAGCTGAAGAACAACACAAAGGTGAACATGGGGGCCGTCACGCCACAAATGAAGAGGTCACAGAAAGACAGGTTCAGGATCATGAAATCAAAGTTGGTTCTGAATTTCCTGAAAGCTGGGTCAAAGAAGGACAAGAAGACAATGAAGTTGCCGTAAGAGCCCAAGCAGAAGATGATCAGGAGTAGGAGAGTACAGGTTACCAGGGTGGCCGTGTGGATGAGACCCTGGAGATCCTCCTGGACAGAGGTGCTGTTTTCTCCTTGTGAGTGAGGTACGTGAAGCCAGGTGGCATTGGGAGCATCCTGAAGGGGGTCTGTTGAGTTCATCTTCGGAGAGGACCACCTCTTTCTTCTGTTCCCCAAAAATCCTCAGTGGGAAGGGAGTCAGGGCCTCAGCTCACAGATGAGCAGATGTGTGTCAAAAGAGGTCCAAGGCAGATAAGCCTGTGCACAAAATTGCAAACCCAGAAACAGAAAGGAATGAATGTAGAAAGCATAGGATCTCAACAGCTTTTACAAAAGCACTAGAATTTTTCAGCTCTGACCCAGTGCATAGAAAGTTTTTCTTCTCACAAAGCCCAATGCAGAAAAGACACAAACGTCTCAAAATACATTCATTCAACTAATGTTTTAGTCTTATGACACGGTGGTTTTCAACCTTGTTTAAGCATCACCTGGACAGTATATTAAAAAGGCAGGTTCCTGGGCCTCGCCCCTTAAGAATCAGACTGAAGGGTGTACCTGTTACCTATAGAAACACAATGGAGACCCGAGAATCTGACATCCCCGCTAACAAGATCACAGTCTAGTTGGAGACCAACCTAACCATGTAATTACGGCCTAATATGGTAAATGACAGCAGGTGTGCAGAGGAAGGGACCCTAACCCAAGCCGGGAAGGGCTGGGAAAGGAAGAACAGGGTCTTGATGAGTAGGCGCTGTTGGGTGAATGGTGAGGGGCAGGGAGTAGGGGCACGGCAGGCTGGAAGAAGGAAGTAGGTCTGTGCACAAGCAAAGTCTTTTCACTGAGGCAAGAAACAGCATGTGCTAATGCATAATGCAGCCCTTTTCATAACTCCCATAAATCACCAACACATTCTTTTTGATCTGGGGAAGAATCCCTTGTTTCCCACTATTAAGAATTTCTTCTCCTTGCTTGAGATTTCTCAGCAAACTCCATGCCTTCCTTGGAAAACTTTGTGTAGGACCACATTTGAGAGGGGAAAATTAAAGGAAAGAAGGCTGTCAGAAACATACTTGGAATCTACAAGTTGCAAAGCACCACTTCCTAAACGTGCAACTGCTATACAAGTGTGAGTTCTCATTATCCCCACAGGAATTTGCTCCTGATGAAGCAGGGGGCTGCACCCATTCAAGCATCCCTTCACCCCATTTCCCCGTCTCATGTGCACGCCATATGCCACCTCTATGCTACTGCTGAAGGTACAAAGGTGAGGGAGACACAGCCCCTACTTCTGAAGAATAAGCTTCTTGCTCCTCTTCTTAATCTTTTTTTTTTTTTCTTTTTTACAATGCGATTTAATGCACATTCACACACATCTTCTACTTGTGTTGTTCCAAACCCCAAAGCCCTGTGCGGGTTGGTGCCCAGAGGCTCCCAGCGGTGCTTCTGGTGGGGCTGTCTAAATCGTTCGCTGGAGACGGGTGCAGTGCTCCAGCTGAAAAGTATTTGCTTTAATCCAGGAGGTTAGAGATACGAATGGCACTGGGGAGATCCAGGGCTGATGTTCAGAATACTTAACCAGCAGCTCCAGCAAGCAGGGTTACAGAGGCCTTCTGCTCGCCGGCCAGGAGTCAACCTTTTCGTTGCTGGATCATGGTGGGTGGGGCAGTGAGGGATTATGGGGGCTATGTGTGGTTCGGAGCCCTGATGGCGCAGTGGGTAATCATTCAGCTGCTAACCACATGGTTGGTAGCTGGAATCTACCAGCTGCTCCTCGAAAACCCTATGGGGCAGTTCTACTCTGTCCTGCAGGGTTGCCATGAGTTGGAATTGACTCGCCGGCAACAGGTTTGGGTTTTTTTGGTCCCTGTGGTTCACAACAGCCCATCCCACTGTGCATGGGGAGAGTTAACGACAACAAGCAGCAACTACTGACCACTCAGCACCAAATTCTCTCAGCGTTTAGCAACAGGGAAGAGCTGTGCCAATGAGGCCCGGACAAGCAGTTGCGGGAAGGTCCCCAGAACTCACTAAGAGAAACTCTTCCACGTTCTGTGGTCAAACAGCGCAGAGGTCATGATAATATAATAAATTCCTCCACTGAGAAATGAGACTACCTTCTGTACTTGCCTTATGAAAGTTCTGTGAGAAGACAAAAATACAAATCCTGACCTTTCATTTCTTGATGATTAGAATGAAAAATAATAATAATGGAGATCTCTTATTGTTTCCACTTAAAGACCTATTCCTGAACGCTTTTTGATGCCTATGGGGTCCTGGATGGCACAAATGGTCTGCACTCAGCTACCAACTGGAAGGTTGGTGGTTTGAACCCACTCAGTGGCACCACGAAAGGCGTGGCAATCTGCTTTCATAAAGATTACAGCCAAGAAAACCCTTTGGAGCCATGAGTCAGAATAGATTCGACCTACTTTGGTGAGTGGCATCTGGGGTCTTAAAACCTTGCAAAGCAGCCATCTAAGATGCATCAATTGGTCCCAACCGCCTGGAGTAAAGGAGAATGAAGAATACCAAAGACACAAGGAAAGTATTAGCCCAAGAGACAGAAAGGGCCACATAAACCAGAGACTGCGTCAGCCTGAGACCAGAAGAACTGGATGGTGCCCAGCTACCACCAATGACCTCCATGACAGGGAACACAACAGAGAGTCCCTGATGGAGCAGGAGAAAGGTGGGGTGCAGAACTCAAATTCTAGTAAGAAGACCAGACTTAATGGTCTGACTGAGACTGGAGGAACCCTGGAAAGCATGGCCCCTGGACTCTCTATCAGCCCAGAACTAAAACACTTTCCGAGGCCAACTCTTCAGACAGGGATAGGACTGGACTGTGGGACACAAAGTGATACTTCCGAGGAGTGTGCCTCTTAGCTCAGGTAGATACGAGAGACTAAATGGGCAGCTTCTGTCCAGAGGTGAGAGGGGAAGGCAGAGAGGGTTAGGAGCTGGTTAAACAGACACGGGAGATCAGGCGTGGAAAGGAGGAGTGTGCTGTCACAGTATGGGGAGAGCAATTAGGGTCACATAACAATGTGTGTATAAATTTTTGCATGGGAGATAACTTGAAATGTAAACTTCATTTAAACTACAACAATAAACAAAAAAGAAGCGATTCGATGGCAACAGGTTTTGTTTTGTTTGTTTTGTTTTTGGTATGCAGTGAAAAAGGCAACCTGTTACATTTTTAAATTGTTCATTGGAGGATCAGGGTTAACTGATGAAAAGAGAGTAGAAGGGAACCCCCAATGTGGGGAGGCAGGAAGAACAGAGAGGTGAAACCAGCGTCTATAGCACAGCTACCTTCCTCTGAGCAGTGAAGGCTTCCTCTTTGGACGGAGGGCAGTGAAGGGGAGTGAAGAGGGAGGCAGAATTTGGTCTGGGGAAACTGGAAGGGTGAAGAGTCATTAGGCTGCTGAGAGAAATACAGAGTCAGTGGGTGATAATGAAGGGGTGGGATGATGGACATTATGAAGATCCCCAGGTGAGGAGGCATGTGGGAAGTGGGGTGTCGAGGGGAGAAGACGATAAAGCAGTAACACTAGTCAAGGATAACAGGCAGCGGGAAAAAAAGAGGATTGGGGGGAGCTGAGGGGCAACTTTCATTTTCTGTACAGTCAGAATTTTTTAATAAATTTTAAATTTGTCAATAAATTAAAAAATAATAAAGGAGAATGCCAGGCCAGAAAATAACAATGGCACCGAAAGAGAGGAAGACCCTCTATGAGATGGATTGACACCGTGGCTGCAACAATGGGCTCAACATAACAAGGATTGTGAGGATGGCGCAGGACCGGGCAATGTTTCATTCTGTTGTGCACAGTGTCACTACGAGTCGGAACCAACTGCACAGCACCTGACAACAACAATTATCAGCATCATTATCATCATGTTAACCTTACTGAGTGCTTATAATGTACCAGGCACTCTTCTCGGTGCTCCACACTATTATTTACTCTCACATCAGCTCTGAGATAGGTACCAGAACTTATCCCCATTTTGCAGATGAGGAAACTGAGCCAGAGAGCCATCACCGCACTTAAAGTGGTAGAGCATGGATTCGAACCTAAGCAGTTGCTCTCCAAAGCCTGTACTCTTCACCACTATCCTAAACGGAATAAGAAGCCCAGAAATCAAGGGAGGGAACCCCAAGTCAGAAGATAATTACAATAACTATAATTTATTGGGTAGCATTTACGCTACATACGTCGTAAAACTTAATTTCATGTTCATAATCATCCTTTGAAGTAGGTATTGCAATCCCTTCCCAACTGAAAGTTTCTGAACCCAAAATTACACACACACACACACACACACACACACACACACTTCTGGGTACCTTTTTGGCAAGCTTGATAATTATCGTTGCAGTATAAAGCAATTATAAATCACTTTATTAGGATAATAAGAAAAAAAAAAAAGGAATCGGGCTGGGAAGAGAAAAGGGAGGAAAAGCAGAAGGCAGAATAGAAGTAAAGGTTTTGGCAAAGAAACTTTAGGAGCGATGAACGCAGCAGTGTGTGTAGGAGTGGGGAGGGAGTAAACTCAGGTTTTAGGACTAACTCCTGAGACCATTAAGAAAGAGACGGCTGAGATCCCAATTTGGAATGGACCTATGTGGCCAAACTATAAAACTCAGTTTGGAGAGGGGGGTAAATCAATACCTATTTGCTATTCTTAAATATTAAATAAAGGTTACCAAAGTTATTTTCAGTACAAGCATACAAGCTACTTTCCAGCTCTGGGACCATAGGTGCTGGGAGAAGGTGGGATTAAGGGCATAAAATCAGGAAGTACCGGACACCGGTGGAAACGCAGGCTTAGGCGTGCATACGAGCCACAGGAAGACGGAACGAATCCACATGCATCTCGTTGGAACTTAACAGGAGGGATCCTGAAGTGAACTAGTAAGCAAAGAATAATAAATGAAAATGTATTGTACAGTGCCAATTATTTCTCATTAAGATGCGCGAAGAGCTTCCAATCATCCAATGTGCTGTTTTAAATTGTTAGTAAACATTCAAACATATTGTACGGGCTTTTACATATCAACTCATAACTTGGGTTCTTCCTACCCAATTTTTTTTTTTCTCGGAATGTCTTAAATTCCTGGATGAGGGCATTTGCAAAGCCACAGAAGGTAAGATACCGTATTATAATTATTCTCACTGTCTTGACGCGGAAAACCTCAGGGAGGTTGGATAACTTGCCCAAGGTCACTCAGATTCAAGCCAGATTCATCT